CACAATGTAATACTATGCTGCTGTAAAAAAGAAAGAATTCTTACCATTTGCATCAGCATGGATGGAACTGGAGAGCATTATGCTAAGTGAAATAAGCTAGTCAATGAAAGAAAAATACCACATGATCTCATTCATTTATGGATAATAAAGACGATTATAAAATTATGAACAAAAATAGATACAGAGGCAGAGTAACATTAAACAGACTGGCAAACTACAGCAGGAAAGTGGGGAGGATTGGGGGATGGTAAGAGATCAACCAAAGGACTTGCTTGCATGCATATAAGCATAATTAATGGACACAGACAGTAGGGGGTTGAGGGCATGTGCTGGGGGGCAGTAGTGGTCAGGGAGAAGTCAAAGGGGGAAAAAGAAGACATATGTAATACTTTCAACAAAAAGAATTTTTTAAAAAAATAATAAATGCTTTTAAAGAATAATAAATAAATAAATAAAGTAAGTAAGTAAGTAATTACCTCCTAACCCTCCACTTTTACTGCCATTATCCTGGAGTTAGGACTTCAACATATGAATGTTAGGGGGACACAAACATTCAGTCTGTAACATGTAGGTATCTTGCACTACATTTCAGTTGGACTACACTACTATAGAATCTTGAATTTTGGCTATGAAATAGAAAAGTTTGACAAACTGCTGTCTGGGATTTTTCTTTAGAGATCACTCCTGGATATGATTCCATCTCCCACTTGAATCCCTGCTGAGGATGATGTCATGTTGTCTTTACCGCTTATTTCGTCTTAAACATCTGCTTTGTACTGTTAATTGCTTTTTCATGAGCATAGAAAACCAAAGACAGTAGCTAATGAGATAGAGAAGTGTCACCTAGAAAAGATTGGTCAGACACCCCATCATATCCCCAAGGGGAGGCACTGCCTCAGTGAAATTATTATACTTCAGGGCTGAGTCATTAGGGAATGAGAATCTGGTTGGTCAGCATACAGATAGCAAATATTGGGTGTTGATTAAGGTATTTGAGGTACAAACAACAGAAACTTAATCATAAATAAGGGATCAACTACAATTATAGGAATGAGACCACAGATTTGACAAAAGCTGGACAACTGGGTGTTAGGAGGGATAGGACCCAGTGAAACCACAGGGGTTCTGCAGCCAACACCCAGGACCCATCGCAAGGGGTATTGCCACCCTACCATTCCACTATGTGCCTTTTGCTTTTTCGACTTTGCTCAATATTCAAATGACCAGGAGAGAAAAACTTGACTTTGTTTAGCTTAGGTCATGGGTCCACCCACTCTTTAGGCCCTGGGGGTGGGATTCTGATTGCCAGCTCCCCAAGAACTGTGGGGCTTAGGTTTGGGTGGCTCTACAAAGGAAGGAGGTTGTGGCAGAGACAAGGCTTTGTGTTCACAAAATCCTGTTATCTTTTCCTCTTTGTGGACACAAAGGAAGACCTTATTTCCTACCTTCCTCTTCAGTGAGGTTAAGGTCAGTGGCATGCAGGTGGGACTGATGCTCTCCAAGCCTGTGTGGACATAAAATCTGCTTCAAGCTTAGAGGGTATATGTTTAAGAAATCAGTATTATAGGCTGGAAGGAGCCTGGAAGACTGAGTTATCACTTAAGGGAGAGAGTACAGAGAGCTTACAATTTACATCAGACTGTGATGTCATCCTATCTAATAAAAGAGAAACATGCAAATTACCCATCCCCCCGCTATGCCCACAAGCCACCACACCCGCCCAATCAGGAGCAAGTATGCAAATTAACCCAACTAAGATGGCGGCGGCCA